TTATATGAAGCTGCTGGATAATAGTCATAGCTAAGAATCTTTGCCAGTTTTTGGTTATATTATGATGTAGATGGGATGTTTGAATCAGTTTGTCCTACCACATGTAAACTTGACCCGTATCTATTTGACTGATAAAATCTAGCAGAACTGGATTGATTGGGCCAAGAGGTGGTCAGTGCCACACAATGGCCAGGGGGCATAGTATGACAAGGTAATAAGAATATTTGGGGTGAAATGCCAGTAGATGCCTTCTCCTTGTTAACCAAGTCTACAGATGCCTACCTAGATGGTGTAAGGGGCTGGATGAGGGCCAATAAACTGAAGCTGACTCTGATTTTTTTTTTTAAAAGGCTTTGTGAATTTGTGGTTCTTGAGCCCAGGAACCTGGTCAGCACATGTATAGCTTGTGAATACCCACTAGAGCACCCCCTTCTGAGCTGTCACCCTTTGTGGTCCACACATCCCACATATCCTTAGTGATCCCCCAGATACAAAAATATTTTAATGAAATCAAATCAATGAATAAATACTGTAGTTTTTTTAGTGCTAAGATGAAAATTCTTGTATGCCAGCCTTCTCAAAATGTAGTGTTGGTGCAAAAGGAAATGGGAGAGTCCCTTTAAAAAATCAGGGATGGGAAGATAAAATTTGGGGTAGCAAATCTTACTACTTTCCTCTGGACTGTTGGCTAAGAGAAGGAGCTTTGGAATCAAGGAATATGCACACTCTCCACACATGGACTTAAATGCCCCTTTGCTGTCCGTGAATCAGGCAGCATAATGACAGGCTGTTTCATCTTGCCCATAGATAGCCGTCTAGGTTATTCATTTAAATTGTCAAAATAAAAATATTTTTAACACTGACACAAGTAGTTCAATGACTTCTGTCCAGGCTGAGTGATTTTTTTTTTGTTGTTGATCAGTTGTCTGATCCAAGATATAATAAACAGATACAAATATTCTGCAAAACTCTCCTAAACCTCATATTTCTTGTAGCTCATCCCACAACTGGAAGTCTGTAGATGGTCTGATAGTCCAGTGCTGGTTGAAAAGCTCATTCCCTTAACAGAGATGTTTACTCACCATGATATAAATCCACCAGAGAGCTTCAGAATAAGTTTATTTCCTGGCATTTGTTCAATCTTAAATCAATTACATTCCTTTTCTACTTCAGTTTGTGAACTTCTAATTAAACATGTGCACAGAGAAATATTAATATGTGCTTTTTGTTTTTACACACTTTTGGATATATTTCCCTTGTTGTTGTTGTTGTTGTTGTTGTTGTTGTTTTGTGTCTTCATGTTGTTCCTGACTCATGGCAATCCTAAAATGGATTATCATTGGGTTGTTTTGTGAAGATTCCAAGGTCACTCAGTGGACTTCGACTATTCCACTCTGGCTGTCAGTGCTCTCTCCCACCAGAATATATTTTGGTTTGTTTTTGAGCTGAAAACTATTGTAACATTTCAAGAAGTATGTAATGCACATCCAGCTCCTTGAATGACTGTAATTTTATGCTGCCTTTCTCTCAATGAAGAATCCAAGGCACCTCACAAACAATGAAACACATTTGCCTAAAACATAGCAACGAAATTAACACATTTAAAATATCACCATTTTAAGAAACATACATTGTACAATATAAAATAGAAACATACAAAAAATAAAAGTAGAGTACCCCCCCCCACACACACACACACTTGTTCCACTGCTTTCAAGGAAATCAAGCAATTTCAAGGAAATAAATCTACTTTTTTTAAGCTAGCATTTTATGAAACTCTGTGTTTGAAACACAAGCATTACACAGTGTCTCTATGATCAGCAGATTTCAGTTTGTCAAAAAGCGTGAATGGTGATGGTGGCTTGATATAAAAGAAAGCAAATAAAGAGTCTAGCTTCAGTCAATATTTCCAGATCTAAAAAGTACATTTTCTACAACTTTTTTGTCACCAGATTCCAACCCTGATTAATACAGTTGACCATCCTTATCCATAGATTCAAGCTTCCACGGCTTGAAAATATTCATATATGTGTGTGTTTGTTGTTGTTGTTGTTGTTGTTGTATGTCTTCAAGTCATTTCTGGCTTATGGTGATCCCAAAATGAATCTATCATGAGGTTTTCTTGGCAAGATTTGTTCAGAGGTTTGCCATTGCTTTCCTCAGAGGCTGAGAGCATGTGACTTGCCCAAGGTCACCCAGAGGGTTTCATGGCCATGTAGTGAATCAAACCCTGGTTTCCAGAGTTTTAGTCCAACACTTAAAACAATACGCCATGCTGGCTGGCTTGCTCTCTCTCTCTCTCTCTCTCTCTCACACACACACACTATATACATTCCAAAAAAGAAACCTTGATTTTGCCATTTTATATAAACACCATTTTATTATGCCACTGTATTTAATGGGACTTGAGAATCCATAGATTTTTGTATCCATGGGAGATCCTGAAACCAGACCTCAGCAGATACCAAGGGCCAAATGTATTTGAATGGGAGACAACAAACAAACACAGTTGTTCCTCCCGTTCGCAGACTTGAGATCCACAGTCTCGCTTTTTATGGGGAGGGACAACTGCCATACCTAAAATGGCCATGTGCGTCCATGTATGGCCCCACACACATGCCACTAGTTTCCGTGGGGCTCGAATATTAGTGAGCCACCCTTTTCATGGGGTGTGTGTCCAGAATGGATCCCCTATGAATTGGGAGAGGCAACTGTACCAGGTGCTGTAGGCTATATTTTTGAGGAAGAAACTGGCAAGTAATCTCTGAATATATCTGCCTATTTAAATGGAAAATGCCAATGATTCACACTGATCAGGCAACTAAAATTTTGCGCATGCTAAGAGCTAATTGTCACTACTCTCAGCTACCTTGAACACTTCCCTATCATTGGCCTTGTTAGGCAGAGAGACACTGGTTGAAACAGTGGAAAGGAGGCTCTCTCTTTGCCTATTTTATCCCTTTTCCTTTCCATTCATTGTCTCATCTAAATGGCAGGACATGATATATTTTGGAAGAAGTTGTTCTTCCTTTAATAATAATATTTTAGAAACTTTGTGTTATGGGAGGCTTTAAGAGAATTTTAATATTTTTACAATGAATAAATAATGCTTCCATGGTGTTAACAGTGGCTGACTGATATCATGATGTGAATTGAAAATTGGCTGTCAATATTTAATAGCTCCCTTCTTGTGGGAACTACCTAGCAGAAATAAGAGTCCTCAAATTTCAAAAATTATTTGAGCAAGCCTAAGAGAAGAATAAAAATGCAGAGTCAGATTCTTGGCACCACATGTGCAATGTTTCAAAAGAACAAATTAAACTTTTTTCTTATCTTAACCAGTAAGTCTTAGAAAATAAAATGAAGTTGTAATGATTAGTCCACTTTACAGCTCTAGCCTAGTGTTTTGCCTCCGAATGTTCACAATGACTCTGACAATAGCAAGTCATGATGATCAGATCTGTTACCAGCCAATTTCTTCAAGAATCTGACACAGAGAGGAACACTGCAAGTGAACATCAATACTTCATTTTAGATCTACTGGTTGCTGTTAACCAGGATTGCTATCTTGAATGAATTAGTTGAATTATCTGAGTCTACTAAATTGTTATATATTACTTACATCATATTCCAATACTTCATAAATATGTAGTGTATTTTGTGAAGCAGCATGATTTTATTTGTCCTGGGGATATTTCTGACCAATCTTACTTGATCAACAGAATTCTAGTGCCTTGAGAAAATAACTTACCTATATTTATTCTGTTCACATAACTCATAAAAGAGGAGTCCCTGTTGAGATGCAAATGGATTTTAAATTTCCTGGACTTTGCAAATCTCCCTATAGCCACAGGGCCAGAAGGAGGAGGAGCCTGCCTGCAAAAGATGTCCTCCCCACCATATACCATCCTAACTAAAGACTGCAACAACATGTAGGCATCTGACTAACATCTCCTGTTTGGTTAATAACATCTTGCCTAATGAAGAAGCCCATGGAGTTTCGAAAACTTGTAACAAGTATATTGTGCATTTTGGTTCGCTAATAAAGGTATCACTGATGTTTTTTTGTTTTAATTTTATAACCATTTTTAAGTCCCCACTCTTCAATATATCTTTTAAGTTAAGCATCTTGTTTATGAAGAAAAGCTTAAGGACTTTAATTTTCCATTTCATACTTTCTCTATGCCTAGAATAATACATTTCGATTAGTTGACCAGCATTGCTTTACTTATACTATATTATGTATTTCTTTATCCTAAATCTTTTCCTCATAATCCCCACAATTCTGAACATGCCTTTTACAAGGCCCACAATGCACAATAATGTTAAAAAGCTATAATGTACATTTAATATATACCTTTGGGTGTGTGTTTAAAGATCTTCTTGTAGTAATGGCTGTTGTATTAACTGCTGCTGCTTTTAATTGATTGCCATTTGTAGTTTGTTGTTTTTATTATGCTGCTTTTGACTTGAAATCATATCAAAAGGAGCATGTTCAAATGAAGCTTGGACTTTATTGGTGTTTTTATGAAACTTTCATGGGATTAATGCATCTTAGAAATAAACGAATAAATATGGAGCACAGGAAATTTTGTACAGGTGGAGTTTCCAAAATGCTTGGGACCAGAAATGTTTCATATTTTGGTTTTTTCAGATTTTTGGAATATTTACATGTCCATAATGAGATATCTTGGAGATGGGACCCAAATTTATTTTAAATAATTTTGTGTGTGAAACAACATTTATATACATTTAATGATCAGAAAGCAAAGGTGTCCCTATCTCACTATCCATGAAAAAAGGTTTTGAATTTTGAAGCATTTCGGATGTTCTGATAAGGGGTACTCAATCTTTACTTGCTTTTAAACTCTTGTGAATCAACTAGTATTATAGACTCAGCATATTACAAGGCACAGATCTCATTTTTGTTTCTTTCAATGTCTACTTCACTCTGTCACTTTCCTCAGGCACTTGAACATCCAATATATGGAGGATAGAGAGCCAGTGTGGTGTAGTGGTTTGAGTGTTGGACTATGACTCTAGAGACCAGGGTGTGATTCCCAGCTCGGCCATGAAATCCACTAGGTGATCTTGAACAAGTCACACTCTCTCAGCCTCAGAGGAAGGCAGTGGCAAACCTCCTCTGAACAATTCTTGCCAAGAAAACCCCATCATAGGTTTGCCTTAGGGTCACCATAAATTGGAAACAACTTGAAATAACACTACACATGCTCATATGGATTATAACTATACTGGTGTCATATAACCTTCAGAGGAAAGCCTCTTCCTTTGATGTCAGCATATACAGTATTTTATTTATTAAAATTATGTATACACTGCCCTTCTACTTCATTAATAACATGCAAGGTTGCTTACTATAAATATAAATATAACCAGGTTATAGTTCCCACTTAATTGGCCAGTCACACTCCAGGCCAGTCACACTTCTTTAGACTCATGTAACTCACAGGGCTGTCTGATGGAAACATAGAGAGAAAAGCTGTGTGCACTTCTTCCCTTTAAACCTGA